TTTACTGTCTCTCACCAGGTTTTCAAGTTCTCGGAGGGCACGGACCACGTGTTCTGGCACGACAAATGCACACCCAGCGCCCATCCCAGGACCAAATACGCATTAGAGGCTCAGTAGATAATTTCTTGGTAAACAAGAAAAGTGGTACCAAGTGCCTCTAGCATCTTATTATTTCAGAAACAATCTTTATGTAATAGTCTAGCCACATGTTACAAAGTTTTACCCTAAATTATCATTTTAACTTTTAATTGTATTTTCTAACATTTACAAATTTAATTATTCAAGGTTCTTGCTATGGTAACAAAAGAGTCTTTCCTATCTCAAGATTATATTAAAAGCTTTCAACTTACATTTTCTTCTAGTGTTTGCATTTTTTAAGAAGTAGCTCTTTATTTCAGCTGGAATTTAATTTGACGTAACGAGGGAACTGTCCTCCGAACAGATGGCCGTTATTCCAGAACATGCGCCACATACTCAAAACCGCACTGTTTCTGGGTTCCGCCCTGTTTCATTGATCTGTCTGTTCCTGGGCTAGTACCACACATTTTAACATCACTGAGTTTCAAATACCTGTATCAAGACCAGCTTAAGCATGGGCTCCTGCACTGTTCTTGCAAACTGCAACATCACCTGGGCACGTTTCAAGGAAACCTCCCCTGGGGTTACATCACAGTTACAGATCTGCGGGAGGGCAACATCTTGACGTTAACGTTCCCATCTACACTGTAATGAAAATCTAGCCCTGTCCTTCCCATTGCCATTCCTGTATTACCTATCCCACTTCCTTCTAACTGCACTGCCTCACACTTCCAGAACGATGCTGAATACTGACGAACACAGCTACCTCTGCCCTCCCCTGACTTTAATGGGTGTGTCTAGTATGTCACAGTGAGCATTACGGTGGCTATCAGTTTGAAATATGTTTATAACACACAATTATTGAGTGGTTTTTATTTAAATAATGCTATGAAAGTATCATTCAATTCTTATTTTTGGTTCATTTGGTTTAGTTTTCAAACTGTAACATTTTACCTAATGTCTTTGAGACAGCTGTCAAATACTACAAGGTTATCTTTTCCTTCTATCTATAATTTAATAACTGTGTATGATACATTGAGCCATTCCGGCATTCCCAGAATAAACTCCTTTTGGTGAGAATATCATCCTTTTATCATAATACTGATTTTATCTGCCAATGTCTTATTAATAATTTCTGTATTTAAACTCATAAGCAAAACTGGTTTTGAGTTTTAGTTTGTTTTCTAACCTTCATCAGGTTTTAGTATCCAGTCGTCACACAGGAAAAACAGAATTGGAAAAGCTATCCTTTCTTGTAAGCTCCAGGTTTAAATTTCTTTCCCTACATTTCATCTTACTCAACTAACATTTCTTGAGTACTCGCTGTGTGTTTGTGAGACACTGACAAGATTAATACCTATATACACACATATCCCTCCGTATCACAAAGAATTAAGTGCACAACGAAGAAACACACGTGTAAGTATACTCCAATATGACGGGTTCATCTGCAGATGTGCACAGAGCTGCACGAGGAAGACCTCACAGGAGGATGAAATTTGAGCTAAGTCTTCAATCTCGAAGGCAAGTAGGCAAAAGAGAAAGGAGAATAAGCATTCTAAACATCTGCCCTGCAGCAACCACTTCCATTGCTCTTAAACAAGCTCACCCCACAAAGCAGCGTTCGCTGCATGATGACGCCGCGTCACAAGTGGCGGCTGGAGTTGTGCACTGGCGTGACTGACAAGGCCTGTGTTTCTGTCCACGTGATGTTCAGAAGTGGGACCTGCTATCTCTGGAGCTTGTTATTTCAAAATTAGTCTTTAATTCATGCTTTCTTCCCACTACTTTTTCAAATGTGCCATATTTTGATTGCTCTCTGCCAGAATAACACGACGGCTTTTCACAGTCCTTAACTATTCACTACTTATTAACTCCAAAACTCAAAAATAAAGGGGCATAGGCTGAAATATCCAGGATGGAAGCAGTTAAAACGTAACATTTCAAGTTCATCGCGATGCTGGTGTGGTTTTCATGCTGCGTGCTCTCTGAGATCATCACCACTTCTCTACCGGTGTCCACGGCCAAGCTCCAGGCTTTCTCACTAGAATACATACTCTTTAACGTAAACTGAAAGAAACTCAGCGTGGTGGCTATAAATGGAGTAGCTGACAGAAAATTTTCTACAACAGTACGGTCTGGTCGATGGAAGAGTGAACCTACACAGCCACAGGATAACCCTAAGAACACAGTGGACACTGCGCGAGGACCAGGGGATCCAGTCGCTCTGGGACACAAGACTGATACTTGGAGTTCTGAAAATGTATACACCCTTTGACTGAGCAAGTCCATTTCTGGGAATTTATCCTAAGGATAAAAAGTAATGTACAGGGATGCATGGTTGGGGTACTCGGTGCAGCACAGTTTAGTAATAATGAAAATTTAATAGTGGTCTAAATGTTCAACAGTAAGAGACACAAGTAAATGCAAGGGAATATTATAACTTCAATTGAAATTGCAAAACTATACGTGTACTGACAAAGGAGGGCAGTTGAAACAAATTATTAAGAAAAGCAGGTGACTTTACGTTATACATAGCTGCAGTATCTAATACAGTATCCATTATGTAGAAATACTTAAATTTAATTAATTTAATTTAATTTTTTAAATTGAGGTATAGTCAGTTACAATGTGTCAATTTCTGGTAAGCAGTATCCCAGTCATGCATATACATGTACTCATTCATTAAAGGTTATTACAAGATATTCAACATAGTTCCCTATGCCATGCAGAAGAAATCTGTTTTTCTTTTAATCTATTTTTTTTAAACTCATTTTTTGGGGGGGAGATAATTATGTTTATTTATTTATTTATTTTTGGTGGAGGTACTAGGGGTTGAACCCAGGACCTTGTGCATGCTAAGCAGGCACTCTACCACTAAGCTATACCTCCCCCCTTAATCTGTTTTTATATATACTGGCTAACATTTACAAATCTCAGACTCCCAAATTTATCCCTTCCCACCGCCTTTTCCCCCAGTAACCATAAGATTGTTCACTATGTCTCCAGGTCTGTTTCTATTTTATAGATGAATTCATTAGTGTCCTTTTTTTTTTTAGATTCCACATATAAATTTAATTTTAAATTAGCTATATTTAAATAAAATTTAAAATTCAGCTCCTTAGTCACACTAGCCACATTTCAACTGCTCAAGAGTCACACATGGCTGGTGGCTGCCATACTGAATAGCACAGATACAGAGCATTTCCATCCTCATGGAAAGTTGCTGTTTTGCTGCTTTTAACCTCTTTCCTCACATTTCATTTAAAAAGGGATTATTCAGACTGGCACTAAAGTAGTTCTGAGATTTTTTTTTTCCCCTAACCAAATGTGAAAGTTATCTGAAGTTTCTGACCTCATGTAGAGAATTACAGCTATCAATTTTTTTAATTCAGTGTAAGTTGGATTCTTTATTTATGCTTTCTTAAAATGAAACATTATCTAGAAAAGCGAAAAATTACCAAAAGCCACAGTGGTCAGCTATTATCTGAGTTTTCTCTCTAAAAAAAAAAGTGACAATATGCCTCTATCATTCTTTCTAGCTGTGTCTCTGTGGCAGCAAGTGATTTTTATCACATATCTTTTACAGCAGGGCAACAGTTTCCACGGAAACCACAGGGCAAACATCCATTACTGCTCCCAAGGACTTTACAAGCACACATAGGCTGAGGCAGTCACTTCCTTTCAATTATCAATATTTTTAAATTGAGCAACAGTTAGCTACTCTGATTCTGGTTGTTGTGTGTCTCCATGAACAAGTCAAGAGATGAGTTACAAACCAAGGAAATTCTGTGTCCCTCCAGCAATAAAATGAGTCTACAGCAACCAGGAGGGGAAAAAAAACCCTCAGAAAGTTATCAGGCCAGCACACACTCCAATGCCACATCACACAAGGTAGCAAATCAGAACAGAAATCCGGGCCGAACTTAAACG